TTAAAACAAGCATTAAAATTTATGATTTAGATATCGATTTATATTATATGTTGATTTATAACATAATTTAATTTTTAGTTTTTTGTAAAGATAAAAAATACAAAAAATAAATTGAGTTTTTTTGGTATTTTGTTAAATAAACAACAAATAAATATTGTTAACCATTATTTTGACAATTTTTTTATGAAATTCCAACACTAGAAACATCCATCTTTAAACATTTAAAATTTGTTTGGCCAAGAGTGTAATTAGATGTTTAATAAAAATAATTAATAAGCCTCCTAGTTCGGTCAGTTAAGTGCCCACTTTTAACTGTACTGTTGGTTGTTCTAGCCCCAGTGGTATTTTTATATTCCTTTTATTATAATCACTTTAAACATTACAATTGGTTTTGGTTTGGATACTTCATTTTAATCTTAAAAATAAAGCAAAGTATTAGTTTGTTGATAGACTAATAGCTTTGCAAATGCACACCCAATTCTTAAAAAAGTTGTCAACTTTTTAATTTGTGTATAATGCAGACTAATTGGTTAAATATTGTTAAGCTGTTATAATTTTTGAGTATCTTAACATTATTTTGATTATCTACTTATCACGTTATTTTTCAAATGGAAATTATAATCATTTTACTTAAAAAATAATTGAAAATGAATGAGGCAAAAAATAAGATGGATTCGACTAAGTGGCATTTATATTACTTTTAATAACAAAATAATGAATAAATGTATAGACAATCAGATTGCTGTTGACACGATAATTATTGTAGTTTAAAAAATGCTTCAATTTTAAAAGTGATTTGTTATCACAACAATTATTTGATATTAAAATTGTGTTTCAAAATACCATTAAAATCAGAATAATTTTTAATATATTAAAAATTAGTATAATTGCTATTACAAAAGGTAAATTCCATTGATCTTTGATATTTGAAATGTACGTTTAACACTTTTGAAACTGATGGTATGTGTTTACGACTTCAGACCCAAGTATTCCAAAACATATGAACATCGATTATACTGACTGATTTTTTTGTATTTGTATTTAATTATAAGTTTTACCATCTTATTTGAGATAAAGAATGACATTTGGGTATCAATTGTAAGTTGTTCTCGTAAATTAGAAATGTATAATTATTGATATGTATTTATAACGACTTTTGTTTTAAAAAACAATGTTAAATAGCTTTAAACTCTGTATAATATTATTATTATAATAACTTGTATTATTAAAATACAAGTTTATTATATTAAAACATAAATCTTGAATACTTATTGTTTTTTGTATTGTAAATTTGATTCTTGAACAATCTTCATTTCTTTAAAAATACGACAAGTATATTTACAAATTGGCATTCAGATCTACGTGCCGCCACATCAGAACTATAAAGATTGAATTGGATTATTAGAGTTTCTATTACATTAAAGCCACAATTCTTCGTTTTACTTGATTGTTTTGGCACGTTTTAAATGCTAAATTCACAAAACACCACTTTTCTTCATTTTTATGACAAACATGTATATACGAAACGTTATACATTTATGATTATTAAATTATTTGTTTTGTTCTTGTAACAATATAAAATTATTTAAATTAAAATCCCGTATTATGTGACACTAATTTGCCATTTTAATTTTGCTTAGTTTCAATACTATAAAAAATTGTTTTTATTTTTTGTTTTTGTATGAAAGAAAATGTAAATGGATCTTCGTCAATAATGAATTAATTTATATTTATTATATTTTTTTATTATATTTTTTTTTTCAAAATGAGTATCATATTTCTAATATAAATTAATTATATGTTTAGTATAAATTATAATAAAGAATTTATAATTCCACAAAAAGCAGAAAGATTTTTCGATTGAAAATTTGTGGATTTGACTCGCAATTTGATTTATTAAAAACTCGAAGAACATTAAATTCGTAATTGTTTGGGTTGATTTTCCATGTTATTTTTCATTAAAATCGGGAAATTGGTAACCCTCAATAATAATGATTTGGTTTTGATTCGCTGAATTATTATTGACCAAATTATTAGTTTCAACAACCAGTTACATTTCGGGACCAATCCTTTAAAAATTTTTAAAACAAAGAAATAATGTGAAAAGTGATACAATTGTAAAAGCGTGTTAATCTATTAATAAAACAAAACTTCCAAACTTTAAAAAAATTTCAAAAATATAAAAACGTCCTGTATTTTTATCAATCGTTTGGATTGTCCAATCAATTGCGATTTCTGGTGTTTGTTATTAAATTACTTCACCAAAAGTGGTGTTTTCAAAATAATTTTAAAAGCCCATTTTTGCTGCATTTTTCTATAGCTTAAAAGGCAGAGTGTCCACTCGTATTCTAAAATTCAATGGGAAACACCTCAACCACATCGTCAGCTCGTCAACAC